ACTAATTAGATTATTTTTTTCACAATCTATTCTTATTAAAATTTTAACAAACACTAATGAATATGCAAAGTCAAAAATGCTGGTATAGATGGACGAGTTTGGTTACCTTTAACATTAGAAGAATTGAAAATTTGGTTAGGAATTGTTATATACATGGGTTTAATTAAGTTGCCACAGATAACAGATTATTGGTTAGTTGATCCTAAATATCCTTAATATGATATTATTCAAACAATGTCAGTGATACATTTTCAACAAATAAAATGGTACTTATATATTTCAGATATTAATTCTGAAAAACTTCATTGGTTTGATAAGGTTAAACCTCTTATGTCACATGTTCGAAATATTAGCAAACAAATATATATACCAGGTTCAAATGTAGCGATTGATGAAATAATGGTATGATTTTCAGAGCGTAGTAAACATACATTTAGGATGAAATGATAATGGGTGTGATTGTATTTTTATAATCAGTGTATATCTCCAACAGAGTTTCAATAAGCGGATTACAATCAACAGTGACACCCTTGTTGAGAGTGAAGAGGATTAAGGTGTGCTTCAATGCGGTTGAACGAAAGACATCAAACATAGTTATGTGCTCATGACTTTTATGAGAGGTTATTTTCTTTAATAATCCGTCTAGTACGAAATGACCTGCTTTGATCAATTTGTTTTCAGCATTTGAACAACATTTATGCTTATGAAAAATTTCGGAAGTTTCAGGCAAGTAATTAAGATCATAATGGAATAATTTGTCTTGGAATTTAAATGTAGTTTGAGGAAAGAAATGGAACATAAAAGGAGCAACGTGCGTTCGAAGGAATGTGCTAATAAAGTCATTAGCAAGTAACATTTTTGTAGCAAAACTGGTACCTTCAACAACGCTCTTACCAACGGGATATCGTTCTTGTTCATAACTATCAAGAAGTTTATTAACGTCAGCTGCTTGATTTCTAATAGCTAAAGCTAATTTAAATGCTAAGTTATGAGCATCTTGAATTCCCATATTCATGCCTTGACCACCAAGTGGCGAATGACAGTGAGCAGCATCTTTTTTAATAGAAAATTAATTAATACAACATTAATGATATTATTGATAACAATGATTATAATACTAACAAATAAATAGTAAACATTTATTTACCTCCAGCAACGAACACACGGCCTGTTCGATATCTATTTACAATTCTTTCATTAATCTTAAAGCGAGAAATCCATACCAGATTCTTTAGTTCCAATTTAATCGGGGTAATTTGCACGTCAATCATTTTCTGCAATTCTTCCAGAGTAATATCGATACCATGCGTAACGTGGCCATTAGTTTCATGATTGTTCTCCTCTTCAGGAATTTTGACAGCAATACGGACAGTATTTTTTCTGGCATCCAACGGAAATATTGCAATGGACCCTAGTAATGTATATTTCATAAAAATGGTTATTTAGATGAAAATAAAAACATAGGATATTACAATCGCAAAATGCAGTAAATAATAACAGTACCATCACCAATTGCGAAACTAATTGCTTGGTCGTATTTAACCAATTCATGAACAATCTCTACGTCGGCTATAACCCACGAAGAACTCAATGTCTGACCTAGGAAAAAGATATTGGGATTATGTACGAGTTTTACTAAAAAAAAAAACGGTAAAACAAATTAAATGTACTTATATAATTAATATACCTTCAAAAGTCCATCCATTTCCTCCTTTTCTGACGGTGGAATGTACACCATCGCATCCTACTAAATATTGGCATCTAATTTCTTCTTCCACATTGTTCTTTGTATTTTTTACAACAGCGATGACATGATCATCCTTTTCTTCGTACTTTATTAGCTCCATGCAGAATTCAACATTAGGAACGTTTTGCTTTCCCATTGATTTCTTTTTGTGTAGAGCGTCCCTTAAATAATCTTCAGTCTTATTTTGACGGTTCATTAATCCAAATGGAAAGTTGCTATTAATGCTGTCAAAGGTGATCTTGAGTGGATCATGAAAATCATGAACATTTTGGTGTATTAAGGTTTCTTTCACTTTAACACCGTGTTCCAAGAACGGATATAAAAGATCCCTAAAAGAAATAAGAAAAATATAAATAAATAAGCATATGTTATTTGAAAATAAAGAACGGATAAATAGAAATTAAATTGCCTATTATCAAAAATTTCCATAGTTCTCGGTGTTATTAAGAGAGCCTTTGAAAAATTTGGGTGCTTTTCAAGCTTATCGATGATGCGGAAATTGATTTCAAATTCAGCCAATTCATTAGCTAAGAATAGGCCAACGGGACCTTTTGGTCAAAAAAAAAAATTTTTTTTGATAATATTAGAAAAGAAATTCTTTGACAACTTTATTTCGAAATATTATTATTATTTTTTTTTTTTTACCTGCACCACAAATTAGCACATCTACATTGTTTTTTTCTTTAAATAATGACACCATAATTTTTAGAGATAATTGTTAGAGATAATTGTTAGAGGTAGTATTTGAGAAATAATTGTTAGAGATAATAGCTATTAGAGATGGTAGGTTTAAAAAAAATATTAATTTACCAATGCTCTTGATCATTCCTATTTATTTATTTCGGCTTTCAGATTTGTGTATCTTTAATTTACATTTATAATATCACGCTTAATTTGCTTCTATAATTATGTTAATGTGAAGTGCTTTTCTTACAAAAATCGTTATATAAAATATAGGACTTGCCTATTAAATTCGTATACATCTCAATCAAATTCGTAAAAGTTACATGAAATTTGATTTTGGTATCTCTACCATTCGAATCGTCTCAATGAGATGATTCGAATGATACCAAAATCATCAAGACCCGATTTCTAGAAAACGGGATATCAAAAATGGATCAAAATCAAATTTTATGTAACGTTACGAATTTGATTGAGATATATACGAATTTGATAGGAAATTCTATATCGATATTCACATAATTGCTGTTTTTTAGATCTTTGCATAAATTATAATAAACTTTATGGGGCCTTTGCAGATAAACTAAATGAGGCATTCGCAATAGAAAAGAACTGGAAATTATTAAAAATCGCATAAATTTCGATTTTCGGAAAAGTTTCGGCACTGGACATATATTTTCGACTATAAATGGAAATCGATAACGATAAATGGAAATCGATTTACTGTACATGATAAAAAAATTGGCATCGATTGCGGTAATTTATGCCGCAAAAACCGAAATCTACGTAGAACACATGCCATAACTTAAATTGATAGTAATATACATGTCAGAAATTATTTTGGATTGGAAATATTTCGGCATTTAAATTTCTGAAATATCTTGGCAATTTCATATCAAAATTAATGCTGAATACTTTAACTAAGTGATATGTACACTTACGGTGTTAATTTCTACTCAAGGTATTGACCATTGTTGCGACACAAAATTTAGCCGCGTGCCAAAATTCAGGTAGAAATTATGCCGAAATTTTATGATGTATGCGTCTCAAAATTATATATATTTTAGTTTGAACAAAGAAAATTATGCATTTACGTACGTACGTGCGTACGTACAGTACATACAATAAATATTGTTATGCATGCTGACAAAGCAATATTTTGTATAAATTCATTTACGTGCAGTTTTGTTTTTAAGTCATATACTTAAAATGCCATTCTTAAAATGAAAATCAAGAACTGATAGGATTTATAGAATTTGCTCTACATTGTTCCTGAAGTCTTGAACAAAAATTCATATACTAAAGCAATTGATATTTATTCATTTGGTATGATCATTTGGGAAATTTTATATGGTAAACCTGTAGCATTTGAACAGAAATCAAAGTTACAATCTAAATTGAAATTCAGTTACAAGTATGTGATAGATTTGCGGCCACATATTTACGAAAATACAGCAATGCATTAGCAATCGAGCAATTTTGTTAGATCAATAAGTGCCTCCTCATATCTTCTCATGATAAAATTGAATTTTCCCTGATTTAAAAGCATATATAGTATCTTGTTTAATTTTCAGAAAATAAGTGCATATATATTCATCGCATTATTATTTGCACATATTAAATGTTTGATCCATTTTTTTCTCTATATCATCAACAGTAATCGCTATTCACAAAGATTTACGATATTTAAATTACAAATTAAGGAAGCATACACTAACAACTAAGGATCGCACCGAAAGTTGAAAGCTTTACCGAAAGTCAAATTCTATTTTTACCCGGATAAAAATCACTTGTTGAACATGTCACGTGTCACAGACTTCGACAAAGATAATCAGATTTTGACACACAGATATGTAAAAACTTTCATTTTGATACTCCTTCGCTTACCTTTTTGATACATTTAAACATACCCCAAAATTAGCCAATAATATTGCATACTATTAGGCCACGCAAAGTTAATTTTTCGTTTTGCATAACATGGAATCAGAAAAATTGGGTCGGTCAGGTCAGATTTTTTTTTTTAATCTATTGTAAGTTAATAGACTCATGTTCATAACTAAGACTATACAAAGTTAATTTTTTCGTTTGCATAGCATGAAATTAGAAAATTGGGTCAGCACTGAGATTTTTTTTCTATCGGTCCTATCGGGAAATTCCGGATACCAAGGTCTCTATTGGGTGATATCAGATACAATTGATCGAAAAATTAAATAGCAAAAATAAAATAAAATTGGCACAATTGGGACTTTAAAAAAAAAAAAAGATGTTTTTTGAAAATTGAAAAAAATTGGTCGGCGGATTATGCAAAACGAAAAATTAGCTTTGCGTGGCCTTATACAGTAGTAAAAGTTAGTAAAATCTTAGGGCATGTACAGATGTATAAAAAGTAGATGCAAATGTATCAAAAATGAAGGTTCACATCAGAGAAGATTGGCTTTTTGTCGAAGTTTGTGTCATGTGACATGATCTAAATTACATGTCCGATGACTTTTACCCGTGTGAAATAAATTTTGGACTTTCGATTTTCGGTAAGACTTGACTTTCGTTAAGATCTTCGGCTTTCGAATTTGCATAAAGTATTTTAACGTGCCAAAATTCTTTCGGAACCATCCTTACTTATAATTATTCAA